TATATTATTTATTTATTAACTATATATATAAATGACTATAAATATTAATTATAATTATAATAAATATAGTGTACCATTAAATTTATAATGAAATTAAACACGTTATAATCTTTCGACACAGAATGTTTATGGTCTACAACGAAGAGACATTTAAATTTCAAACTGCTAGACACTATCCTACAATGATTCTAGTCAGTTTATCTGCAGTAGATCAGTACAAGGTAAAATTAGAAGCTGTAGGAATGCCTAGTGTCGTCTTTAGAGTACCAGAGAAATCCGAAAAGAGCTCTGCAGCCATTGCATGCTCGATGTGGTTTGGGGAACCAGTTAAGTGTATCGATTGTGGTCCGGAACCTGCTGAATGGTTATCGAGGTAACACCATTTTTAAACCAGTTTTATCGAAAATTTATTGGCCAATCATTTCGACAAAAAGATAAACAGTTATGTTTCTTTTTACTTGTTTCAATTAATGTTTCAATTATTATTATTGCAGATTTTTAACTGGAACAAATTCTGGTTTACGTTTGGGTTATTCGATGCCAGATCGAAGAGAAATTACTAAAGGCACATGGGAACGTTTTGCTAAAGTTTTCAATACTATGAGAGACGAAGACAGTGTAAGTTTAAAAAAAAAATTAAACAAAAAAATCTAATATTATTGTATTTATGATACAAATATTAATTAATGTTTTTCTTTTTTTTTTTTTTTTAATGAAACCAGGGTTTATTCTCAGATCTTACAAGTTACATGTTAATGACTTCAAAATCTTTGGATAATTTAAACGAACGATTGGAAACACCTGTTCCAACTTTACAATTTCGTCCTAATATCGTTGTATCCAATGATGAACCATTTGTCGAAGATAATTGGGAATGGATTAAAATTGGTGATCGTGCAATTATTAGAAACGTCAAGCCTTGTCCAAGGTACAATAAAAAAAAAAAAGAAAACAAAAAAAAAACAAAAATTATATTAATTGAATTAATTGTATTATTCCAGGTGTAAAATGACCAGAATTGATCCAGAAACCGGTAATGTTGCTAAAGAAGAACCATTGAAGACTTTATACTCGTTAGTTGATTAATTAATTAAATATATATTTTTAATATAATTATAATGAATATTAATAAAATGATTATTTTTATTTTAGTTTTCGAAAACAAACGGATCCAGCAAAGATTGCACTTGATGGTCCAGCACCATTAATGGGAATATATTGTGGATTGTACATCACTGGTCGTGTTAAATTAAAAGATGACGTATTTGTTCACTTACCAGAAGATACAGAAAATTTCAAACTTTCCAATGGTCAAGAAGTCGAAATTTAAAATGTGTTCAGTTTGAGATCAATGTTTTGAAAGCGTGCCTTTCTTATTCGATAGCAAATTTGATTCCACCTTGTTTGTGGTTGCTTTGTTGAATCAAAATATGTCGAGTGTTCGTCAAAATTATATATTTAATAGAATCAAAAGTTCCTAAATATTCTGATTGTATAATCAAACAATTTAATAATGTAACAAAGTATCTAACGAGAAATAAAAGTTGAAACTTTGCAAACTTTTGGTCAATGCAGAAATAAAAATAAACTAAAAAAAAAAAAAAAAACAAAAAAAAATACAATATCGAGTAAAAACGATGATAATGCGACAATAATCTGAAAAAGGGAAAAAGTTACTATTAGAAAAATAGAAGAATACAAATTATTTAAATATAATAATAATAATTATAATAATAATATTATATAAACTCGTTGAAGCGCACTTGTTGAATCAAAAATAATTTACAATCGTTGTTATCAGTATCACATTTTTATTTCTTTAATAAATATATATTTAAATACCAATTTATTTGATGATTATGCATTCAAAAAGAAAAAAAAAAGTGCCCCGTTGGAAAGAATAAAAAAACCAGATGTGTGCAAATCACACACGACTTGAAGTGAAACCCTTCAAAGAAAACCAAGCATTCGAGACGTGAATATATCGAAACAATTGAATTGTAATACAGTGCCATCTATTGAAAGAACTTTACAAAACCTAGATAACCTCTAAATAATAAATCTTTAAATTAGTAATAAAAAATAATAAAATAAAATAAAAAATTGTGCTATGTGCCAAGTTGGAAAAAATCACGTGATATAAAATTAAATTTCATTAAAATTAGTTGAATAGTTTTGAAATTATTAGTGGACAAACATATTGTTACGTTGAATTTTTATATATAGAATTTTATTAATTAAATAATTATTTTTTGCTTTCATCGGTTTCACGATTTCTTCCGTTTTATAATTTTCAAATCACTCCGATTCTAAAGAAGTTTTCACTTCAAAAATAAAAAAAAGATGATTCGTATCAAATATACGTAACTAACAACAATTTTTCAAATAATAATAATAATAATAATAATATACAATGAAACACGATCGGATCATTCGCTATAATTTTAAATTGAGATTAATTTTATTTCTAAAGATATGAATACAAAGATGATGATGTAATACGTTAATTAAAGTTACAATGTTTCCATTTGTAATTGGTATGAATGAATTGATGTAAAAAAAAAAAAAGAAAGAATAAATAATAATAATAATAATAATAAAAAAATTAGAAAAGGACGGAAATCTATCTTTGTCACTTAGTTTAAAAATGTCATTTCATCTTTTATCATTCAACTGGGTATCATCGTTCGTTAGATAAGAAATGTATATATGTTCCTACTATCTCTCTCTCTCTCTCTCTCTCTCTCTCTCTCTAATTTCCTTCTCTTATCTTCCCCTCTCAGTTGCATCTCATTTTCTATCATCATAAATCCAGTCTACAATCGAGAGTCGCCAGTTATCGTTCAAGATGACTACAATAATATCATGGATCTGTTTTTGTGCGTTGTTTTCAACAATTTTTGCTGGTCAACATTTAAAAAAAGACGGTTAGTAGAGTGTTTGTGTGTGTGTATGTGTGTCTATTGCATAACATGTATTGCATACATGTCATATAATTAATTTGTTTCTCATGAAAATAACAATTTACTTGACATTCAATTCTGATTTAGAATGAAATATTATTAATT